GCCTGAATTTCTGGCAGCTCCCTGTCAATGTACTTCTGCATCTGCTTTTGAATGAACTTCAGCAAAATTTTACTTGTGTGTGATATTTATGATATTGTTCGATAATTTCTGCATTCTGTTGGATCAACTACGTTTGGAATGGGCACATATATGGATCTTTTCCAGTTGGCCAGGAAGCTGTCTTCCAAATTTCTTGGCAAGACAAGTGAGCACCTCCAGCACTGCATCTGTTTGTTGAAACATCTCAATTGGTATTCCATCAATTCTTGGAGCCTTCTTTTCTGCCAATGCCTTCAGTGCAGCTTGGGCCTCTTCCTTGAGTACCATTGGTTCTTTATCATATACTACCTCCTGAAATGGTTGAACATTGACCAGTTCTTTTTGGTACAGTGAACCTGTGTATTCTTTCCATAGTCTTTGATGCTTCCTGGATCTTTTCCCTGTAGAATCCTTCAATATTGCAACTGGAGGCTTGAATTTTTTCTTTAGTTCTTTCAGCTTGAGAAATGCCAAGTGTATTCTTTCCCTTTTGGTTTTCTAACTCCAGGTCTTTGCACATTTTATTATAATACTTTATTTTGTCTTCCCGAACTGCCTTTGAAATCTGTTTAGCTCTTTTACTTCATCATTTCTTCCATTTGCTTTAGCTACTCTACATTCAAGAGTAAGTTTCAGAGTCTCTTCTGACATCCATTTTGGTCTTTTCTTTCTTTCTTGTCTTTTTAATAATCTCTTGCTTTCTTCATGTATGATGTCCTTGATGTCATTCCACAACTCGTCTGATCTTTGGTCATTAGTGTTCAATGAGTCAAATCTGTTGTTGAGATGGTCTCTAAATTCAAGTGGGATATACCCAAGGTTGTATTTTGGCTCTCATGGACTTGTTCTAATTTTCTTCAGCTTCAACTTGAACTTCCATATGAGCAATTGATGGTCTGTTCCACAGTCGGCCCCTGGCCTTGTTCTGACTGATGGTATTGAGCTTTTCCATCGTCTCCCAGATGTAGTTGATTTGATTCCTGTGTATTCCATCTGGTGAGGTCCACTTGTATACTCGCTGTTTATGTTGTTGAAAAAAGGTATTTGCAATGAAGAAGTCATTCCTTTACAAAATTCTGTCATGAATTCTCCGGTGTCGTTTCTATCACCAAGGCCATATTTTCCAACCACTGATCCTTCTTCTTTGTTTCCAACTTTCACATTTCAATCACCAGTAATTATCACTGCATCTTGATTGTATGTTTGATCATTTCAGGCTGCAGAAGATGGTAAGTCTTCAATTTCCTTATCTTTGGCCTTCGTGGTTGGTGGATAAATCTGAATAATAGTCATATTAACTGATCTTCCTTGTAGGTGTATGGATATTATCCTATCGCTGACAGCGGGTACTTCAGGATAGATCTTGAAATGTTCTTTTTGATAATGAATGTGATGCCTTTTCTCTTCAATCTGTCATTCCCAGCATAGTAGACTATATGATTGTCCACATCAAAAGGGCCAATATCAGTCCATTTCATCTGCCTAGGATATTAATCTTTATGCATTCCATTTCATTTTTTGACTACTTCCAATTTTCCTAGATTCATACTTTGTACATTCCATGTTCCTATTGTTAATGGGTGTTTGCAGCTGTTTCTTCTCATTTTGAGTCGTGCCACATCAGCAAATGAAGGTCATGAAGGCTTGACCCAATACACATCATTAAAGTTGGCTCTACTTTGAGGAGGCAGCTCTTCCCCATTCGTATTTTGAGTGCCTTCCAACCTGAGGGGCTCATTTTCCAGCACTATATCAGACAATGTTTTGCTGCTATTTATAAGGTTTCAGTGGCCAATTTTTTCAGAAGTAGACTGCCAGGTCCTTCTTCCTAAAACCTGTCCAACATGGGTGGCCCTGCTGGTATTTGAAATACTGGTGGCTTAGCTTTCAGCCTCACAGCAACTCGCATGCCACCACTGTATGACAAACTGACAGACAAGCGGTGGGGATACTTTATGATCCTTCAATCTCACTCCTAGGTATACACCTTAGAGATCTAATAGCAGTGACACAAATAGATATGCCGACCTATGTTCATTGCAGCATTATTCACAATAGCATAAAAGATGGAAACAATCTAAGTGCGCATCATGGATAAATGGATAAACAAAATGTAGTACATACACACAATGAAATACTACACAGTTATAATGAATAATGATGAGTTCTCAAAATATTTTATAAAGTGGAAGAATCTGGAGGACATTATGCTGAGTGAAGTAAGCTAATCACAAAAGGACAAATATTGTATGAGTGCACTTTTATAAGAAGACCAGGATAGAAATCAATGTTCATTGGTGGTTACCAGGGTTGGGAGGGGGAGGGAGGGGAATCTCTTACTAGATAGTAGGCCCTTGTTATTTTAGGGGCTAGGAAAGGCAATCCCAAATGTTGGTAAAATGTGTGCGGCTTGACCAAGGTAAATGATACACTAAGAAGTACACAAGAATAAGGGACATATTTGATAAATGCTATAACATATACAAGGTTGCAATAACAGCCAAAAAATATGCGTGTGGTTACATAGGTAGATATATATGCGCATATGTATATAGGAAGGTATATGTTGTATATATGGGTGCACATATAGTCATATCTGTAGGCATATGTATATACATGTATGTGTGCTACACATATATATCCCATTGCTGTCGAGTTGGTTCTGACTTATAGTACCCTACAGAACAGAGTAGAGCTGCCCCATGGGGTTTTTAAGGAGCAGCTGATGGATTCAAACTATTTATAAGGCCCTTAACCACTGTACCACCAGGGCTCCACATACATACACATATACCTAATAAAGCATATAGGAGTCACAGTTACAGATACTTCCTAGACATAACTAACTCTTTGTGGGATTGGTTTACTGGATTTGAAGGCTTAAGACCAAAGTCTCATGGGACAACTTGGTCAATTGGCATAACATAGCTCATAAACTTTATGAGCTACATCCTAATTTGGTGAGAAGCATCTGGGGTCTTAAAAGCTTTCAAGCAGCCATCTAAGATATAACTATTGATTTGGAGATATAACTACTCATCTGGAGCAAAAATGAAAGAAGGAAACCAAAGAGTCAAAAAAGAAAGTAGTCTACAGGACTAATAGCCTACATGAACCACAGCCTTATCTATCCTGAGACCAGAAGAACTAGATGGTGCCCAGCTACCTCTATTAACTGTTTTGACCAGGGATACAACAGAAATTCCTGGATAGAATGGGAGAAAAATGGGCAACAAAATTCAAATTCCTAAAAAAGTCCAGACTTACTGGACTGATAGAGATTAGAGAAACCCTCAAGACTATTGCCCTGAGATACCCTTCAAACTTTGTACTGAAACCACACCCGGAGGTCACCTTTCAGCTAAATAACAGATTAGCTCATAAAATGAACAATATCTCCCATGAGTACTGTGCTCCTTTAAAAAATAATCTATATAAGACCAAACAGTCAATATTTGCCCTAAAGCAAAGATGAGAATGTAAAGGAAGGAGCAAGGAAGCTAGATTAATGGAAACGGAACAACCAGAACAGAAATGGTCATGCATCACATAACGTCTGTTCAGGCCACATCTGACCACATATACTTCGATGATCCATAGTTTTGTTTTGTTTTTAAAGGGAAAACAGCTTTCCTTTTGCTTATTATTTCCCCCTAAAGGTTTTAAAGGCTCTAAATCTAGACTCTTGCAGCACTGGACCACAGGTGGAATACAGGCAGGTGAGGCAGAGGACATGGCTCTGGATGCCGGCTCTTGGGCTTTGTCCAGCGGGCAGGCGGGCATGCAGGTGGCAGTGGCAGGGTGGGGGCTGCAGAGCTGGGGCTGTTCCTGCTCCTTAAGCTGGTGGAAGAGTGGGGGGCTGGGGGGTGGGCACACTCTGCTTCCTCCTCGCTTGCTTCATCTCGCTCTGCTCCCCTCTCAGCCACCATTGTGGCAGCAGCCATAACAAGGACAACCAGAAGCAGGCTCCCATTAGGTTTTAATATAATAGGTTTTATGGGAGTTGGTTCATAACTACAGGTTGTACGTAAGTAGATGTTCGTAACCAGGGGGACTGCCTATATACAACATGGTGTTCGCACAATGTCCGAATCACATAACATCCTATTTCACAGAACGTATTGTGGACATTAAGTAATGCATAACTGTAATGAGAAGATTAACCCAACCAAAACCCACTGCTTTTGGGTCAATTTTGACTCATAGCTCATAGCAACTCCATAGGGTTTCGGAGTCTGTAAATCTCTATGGAAGCAAACTGCTACATCTTTCTCCCATGGAGCCGCTGATGGTTTCAGACTGCTGACCTTTCAGTTAACAGTCAATTGCTTTAACCACTGCACCATGAAAAATGTACCCAATGTCAGTGAACAAACGTATATCATACCCATTGCCATTAAGTCCATTCCAGCTCATAGCAACCCTATAGGACAGAGTAGAATTGCCCCATAGAGTATTCCAGGAGTGGCTGGTGGATTTGAACTGCCAACCTTTTGGTTACCAGCTGAGCTCTTAGCCACTGTGGCACCAGGGATCTGAACAAATGTATAGAAATTGTTAAATGGAAACCTAATTTGCTGTGTAAACTTCACCAAAAACACAATAATAAAACATTATTAAAAAAAAAAAGAGGGAGAAAAAAAAAAGAAACTAGGTTCAGAGAGATTCAATAATTCATCCAAAATCACACAAGAGGTATTATTATCAGTTGAGATTACTTACTATCAAAGTGAGGCTCATATAGCTGGAGACAGTCTCAATATGATTCAAGTTTACATCTGCTTGACCATATTGATCATCTTTGCCCTCGGTAGGTGCTTAATAAAGGTGGCTTATTCCCTAATGGGAGTAGCCCTAGGCTCCAAACTCATACGCCTGTATCTCAGATGTACATCCTTCCTGGGCAGTTGTTGAGCTGACCCTCACTGCCCTTGTTCATCCACCTATGTCTCAGGACTAACCTCTTTAGGAGCTTCAGTTTGGATGAATTCTTCATAAATTTCCTTTGCCTTCTCAGCCATCTTGTCAGGGGACTTGATCTTCTTGTAATCCTCACAGGCAATCCAGAACTCAAGGTTTTCCTCACTGAACTCAGACTTCAGGAAATTTTTGAAGCTGGCAAGTCCATCTATCAAGAAATAAACAAAATAAGTTGGGGAAGATGTATGTATGCATGTACATATTTATTTATCAAACACCACATTCCATTATGGAGCCCTGGTGGCACAGTGGTTAACAGGTCAACTGCTGACCAAAAGGTCAGCAGTTCAAATCCACCAGCCGCTCCTTGGAAATCCTATGGGGCAGTTCTACTCTGTCCTATAGGGTCACTATGAGTCAGAATTGAATCGACAGAAATGGTTTTTTTGTTTTTTGGGTATTCCATTATGGGATAGCCCACCTAAGCTTATTCACTATATATGTCAGTGGTTTATGTAAGAATCTTACAGATGTTAACTCTCTGAATCTGCATTATATACTTAAGAGGCAGGCACTATTAACATCCCATTTTACGATTGGGGCTAGAGGGTAAGTGACTTGTGTACTGCTAGCCAGCTGGTAAGTGGCAGAGCCAGGATTCAAACTCAGGCAGTCTGACTTGAGAGTCCCTGAATTTGTCCCTTATTCTAAGCTACTTCTCAATAACTGCATGATTCAACTTCTTGGAGCAGAAACCATCCAATAACGGCTGCCTGCTTTCTACTGCGCTTGGACTGAGAAAAATACACGATTAACACTAATACCATTCTGCACACTAATCAATTACCAAAGAGAAAAGAAGGAACTAAAAACTTGGTTTGGCTGTTTTAACAAATATTAATATTGATCATTGTATATACACGGCTTATAATCTTTTTTATTTTTGGTTTCTACAGATGATTTTTGAGCAACTAGTATGTTCCAGGTACTATGGTAAGTAAAATAGACATGGTTCCTACCCTAATGAAGCTTACAGATTCTGGGGGAAGCAGAAAGAAAATGAAGAAGTGAAAAACGCATTTACACAATGAAGGAAACATATGAAAGATAGTATCAGGAGGGTCCTAACTTCAGTTTAGGGTTATAGAAGACCTCCATGAAGAAGGGACATTCAACTTAGACCTGAAGGATGAGTGGGTAGGGGGCATGCAGAATGGTTATCAATAACACGTCAGTTTTTGAAACCTATTAAATCATTAATTTAATTAATAAAATCAATTATAAATTTAAATATTAAATATAATTATAACTACGGTAATTCTGGTTTCAATGTTCTGTTGCTCATGAACACTGAAGAATAGACTTCAGCTTATAACTTAAAAAAAGTATGTATCCATTACAAATATATATACACACACATATACATATATACTTTTACATACATACATATATATATACATACATACATACATACATATATATATAAAACAAGACTCTTGGGCCTAAACCTTTTGTTTTCTTTGTCTTTCTTACCCCTCCAGCTCCAACATCCAAATGGTAGATTAGTGAAAGGCATTGTGAGGATTTAGGAAGGCAATGAAAAAAAAAAAATGAAAAAACTATTCTGAATTTCCAATATTTACTTTCTTGCTCTTTAAGCTCTGACTATATATACTGGAGATTTAGAGTGAGATTATCTATATAGATACATAAATTTTTAAGCCAAAGTTCTAGCAAACGTGTATCTGTTTAGAGTGCATCCATGTCCATATATTAACTAAGAAAAGTAAAGGTTTCTATAGGGAGAGAGAAGAATTCTGGGTTTTCCATAGGCTGTATCAAAATTCCCAGCTGACCCTTAGTAATTTGTCACTTTGCTGCCTAGGGCAGAGGGCAGGATTGACTCTCACGGTACTTCAAAGTCTGGTTTTCTTCTAATTTGCCTCTTCCAAGAGACACTTCTGAAATCCATTAGGTCTGCTTGCGGGAACATATTCATATTCCAAATTCATTTCCTTTGACCTCATTTCCATCCATTTCCTTTCCCATGAATATTTCTCCCTACTTCTCTTTAGAGACCCTAAATTTTCATTCAATGGGCTCACTTTTCTTTGCCTGACACACTGATTTTACACAAGCACACAATTTTTACGATGATCGAACTGGAGATAGATGGTTGTCCTTTTTTCAGTTTATCTTATATACATCTTTACTGTCTCTATGTCCTTCATAGTCCCCTCAACCCCATTCAGTGCTAAAGAAACCAGATGGCTCAAGTGATCATTACCGTGGTTTAGAATCACCAGAGATTTCAGAATCCAAAACAAGGCACTTTGCTTTTCATTCTCCTCCCCCTGTACTTAACCCTAAGAACATTTCCTATTGTTCAACACCTAAAAGTACATCTGGCAGCAGTGGTAGGTATGATAAACAATTCTCTCTAGAAACCTGGCTACAGGAATGACTCTAAAACCATTTGATAACTTGAACCTGCATAAAATCAGGTGTATTTTCTCTCTCTCTCTGACCTTATTTCTTATTCTATATCCAGCACTATTTGTCATAATTTAGTGACACAGGAGACTAAGGATATGTCAGAAGAAGAAATAAGACCTAGTTCCCTCTCTGTCATGGTTAAAGCTTTCATTGTTTCTTAAACAAAAATGTGTCAGTCTTTGTCAAATGGAAAAATTCCCAAGCGCTTTCCAGCTGCCAGGAAATGACAGCAGGAATGAAGTCTTATGAGCTCCTAGACAATTGACTCTAAGGCTGTGGAGGAAAAAATAATCTCACAAAATAAGTCTGAATAACCTCATTCTCATTAGTTTCAGGTCCCCATACCTATCAGGCCCTCTGAATCACCCATTCTGCATCTTTATCTTTGAAATGTGGAGATAAAATCCCAATCCTCCCAAACATGCCATTCAGGATGTGAAGACACACACCAGGACTTCCAACAATGTTAACATTTACTACATATCCAAGGAAGGAGCTTACGAAATAACTTCCCAGTGCAATGAGTCTGTTTTCTGGGTACTGCTTACATCACTCTCATTGGATTCCACAAGATAATCTCAAAGTTTTTGGTCAGTTTACACACTTTAAAGCCAGACTCAATTTCATATAATGGCTTCTTGCTCTATCGGTGAGGGAGACATTTAAGGCTCTTCTGACACTCATCTGGCTTTTGGGGATTCTCTGGAGGCCTCCTTACTAGGACTTTTGAACAACTACTCCCCACTTAGCCTCTGGATGTCTGTTGGTTCACTCTTCAGAGACTCTTTCTGTTGAATTTCCATCACCCCTAAGGAAGTCCTCCTGGGTCAGAGTCAGAGGCTCCAGGCCAAATGTCTCTATTCTGCAAGGCACCCACATGTCCTTCTTGCCCTACCACCATTCCCCTTGCCCACTCCACATCCTGGTAGAGCCACTGAAATACATTCCTGATAAATCACCCTATTCCTCCCTGCTGAGCCTACACAGAGCCCCAGGATATCCCTTAACATATCTCTTCAGGAATCCACTATCTAGGAAGAAGATGCAACTCCCCTGACTCCCTAGTCTTGGCAAAACAATCAGGGTTGTGACCTGTATTAAATCCCAGGGTTGGCCCTAATGAACGATGTTGCTTTTGACATCCATGTAAAATAGAGTTGGCATTCCTACCTAAGGACAAAATAAAACTACCTGTAAAGTCACTTTGAACATAAAAGGAGTGTTAGACAAGTCTAAGTCAGTTGTGGCATAAAGGAAAAATATTGTGTACTGTTATTGTAGTTGTTTTTAGGTGCATTGGGTCGATTCTGACTCATAGTGACCCTATGAACAACAGAACGAAACCACTGCCCAGTCCTGCACCATCCTCACAATCATTGTCATGTTGGAGCCCATTGTTGCAGCCACTGTGTCAATCCATCTCATTGAAGGTCTTCCTTTCTTTGATAGCCCTCTAATTTACTGAGCATAGTGTCCTTCTCCAGGTACTGATTCCTCCTGATAACATGTTTACAGTACTTGAGATGAAGTTTTGCAATCCTTGTTTCTAAGGAGCATTCTGGCTGTACTTCTTCCAAGAGATTTGATCCTTCTTCTGGTAGTCCATGGTATATTCACTATACTTCGCTAACACAGTAATTCAAAGCCATCAATTCTTCATAGTTCTTCCTTACTCATTGTCCAGCTTTCACATGCATATGAAGCAGCTGAAAACACCATGGCTTAGGTCAGGTGCACCTTATTCCTTAAAGTAACATCTTTGCTTTTTAACACTTTAAAGAGGTCTTTTGCAGCAGATACGCCCAATGAAACCCACCATTTGATTTCTTGACTGCTGCTTCCATGGGCGTTGATTCTGGAGCCAAGTAAAATGAATCCTTGACAATTTCAATCTTTTCTCCATTTATCATGATGTTCTAATTGGTCCAGTTGTGAAGATTTTTGTTTTCTTTATGTTGAGGTGTAATCCATACAGAAGGCTGTAGTCTTTGATCTTCGTCAGTCAGTGCTTCAAGTCCTCTTCACTTTCAGCAAGCAAGGTTGTGTCATCTGCTTATCATAGGTTGTTAATGAGTCTTCCTCCAATCCTGATGCCCTGTTCTTCATATAGTGCTACTTCTCAGATTATTTGCTCAGCATACAGATTGAATAAATATGGTGAAAAGATATAACCTTGACACACACCTTTCCTGACTTTAAACCACACAGTATCCCCTTGTTCTGTTCGAACAACTTTCTCTTGGTCTATGTACAGGTTCCTCATGAGCACAATTAAGTGTTCTGGAATTCCCGTTCTTTGTAATGTTATCCATAATTTGTTATGATCTACACAGTAGAATGCCTTTGCATAGTCAATAAAACACAGGTAAACATCTTTCTGGTATTCTCTGCTTTCAGCCAAGATCCATTTGACGTCAGCAATGATAGCCCTCATTCGACAACTTCTTCTGTTTCTGGATTGAATTTCTGGTAGTTCCCTTTTGATAAACTGCTGCAACCACTTTTGAATGATCATCAGCAAAATTTTACTTGTGTGCAATATTCATGATATTGATTGATAATTTATGCATTCTGTTCTATCACATTTTTTGGAGTGGGGACAAACATGGATCTCTTCCAGTTGGTTGGCCAGGTAGCTGTCTTCCAAATTTCTTGGCACGGACAACTGAGCACTTCCAGTGCTGCATCCGATGGTTGAAACATCTCAGTTTG